GAGCTAAACATAAGGGTGCTGTTTTGATTGGGCCTGTTTGAGAGATGAGCATGCTTTTAAAGGGCTAGCAGGAACTTCCTGGGTTATTTAGTCTCATCCCTTGTTATCAAAAACATAAATTAATCCCCTAATAACTTTTTTGATCTTTATTTTAAAAGTAGGTGCCTTTTTGTGCCTGCTGTTCTATTCAGCAGACTAGGGCAAAACTTCATTTTTTGACGTTTTGAAGCTATGTACTGACATTTAAATTTATGGTAAAATTCCAATTCATGGCATTTCCATGCACCTTTGTTGCCATGCTGGCAGTGTGCTTCACCTTAATAGATTTTTATCTTCTATAGTTTTTATTCACTCTGCTGTATTTATAGGCAGCATTCATATCTCTCACCTTTGATCTGCTAGGCTAAGAAAAGATGTTTTTGTTTCCTACTCCTAACATGCTTTTTTTCCCCCAGAGCGTTCTAGTAGCTGTTATGTTCAGCTTGAAATGGTGCAGAGATCTCTTAACATAAATAGCCCCGTGAGATCTCCAAGTGTCTTGAAAATGATACAATACTTCCTTATTTTTGCTTGATGCTTCTCTTAATACCTTCTTGGGCAGCTTCACATTGTTTTCTTGTGGTTAAGCAAACCATTCAGGTTCTTCAGTCGTTTCTAATTGATGAACTCATATTGAAGTTATTGATATTATTCTTGAAATACATGGCCTTACTATGTAGTTTTAGTGTGGCACTATTTAATTTTAGACCTCTTGTGATCTCTGCCAACTCTGTATCACTAGCAGTTTCAATTAGTATGTTCCCACTTGTTGTGCCAGAATAGTTAATGTTAAATTTGAGTTTTGGGCATAATCCTTCCTTGAGTCTGGTTAATAAACTGCCTACGTCTGTTTTATTCCATTTCATTTAAGTAGAACAACCATAAAGCTTTATTCATAACATAAATCACAGAGCTCTTTATTTTTCACTGCCTTTCCTTTATTACTGCTCAGAATAATTTTGATGACCATTAACTGAGTTCCTATTTTTGGATCATTTTAAGAAAGTATTGGGGCTGTGGAGAGGTAGAGAACAGTGAGAAGCACAGTCTAAGACCAAAGATTAACACTCTAAATTACCTCTTATTTTCCTGCCAACTTTTTGACAGAAATAACTGCCATGATTTGAAAAGTCCCTTATCCTGTACCCCATTTCCTCCTTCAATATTTCTAAGAGGAAAAAAAGCAGATGGGCCTGGTGGAGCACACAGAGACCTTATACATTTGGGTTTTGTCATTCTCAGTCTGCAATCAGGTATAAAAATTGGGGAGTACATCATAGAAGTGGCTCTGTTAGAGCTGAAATTGGTATTCATCTTCCAATGTTTTATACTGGTTTACTGAGGGGGAAAAAATTTAAAAGATTTGCCTTTTAATGAGTCTGAGATACAAAGCCAGAAGTAACTGAATCTTTCAGGGTGGAGTTAGTAGGATCATAATACCTTAGTGAAAAAGGCCCACACAGCAGCAGAGTTTATTTTTTTGTGCAAAGTTAGATTGCAATTACTGATGGAAAACACCAGTTAAACCTGTCTCTTTTTTTCAGTTATTGTTGTATAAGCAAGTGGTTGTGTGGTGGTGCTTCCCCAAAGGACCAGGGGTTTTGTTTTGATACTCACACTCAGCCAGTTAATCTAGGCATAATGTTGGGTTTAAGATTCAATAACTTTTTCCAAGTTCTTTAATATGTTCCCTTATGCTATTTTTTTTCTTTTTAACTGCATTGTGAAAGATAGGTTAAATATATTCTAGCAATATTTAAAGTCGATTCAAGGAGTTTTTAAAAGAAAATGTGGGGGACAGCGTTCTCTGTGAGAGCCTTTCCAGCTGCACTAGTGTGCGAGCTATAAGCTGAACTGGGGAACATCATGTTGACGTAGGTATTGCATTTCAGTCCACCCGTGTATTGGATTACTGTTAGATGCCAGTAGCCATGCAGTTTACTCCCCCCTCACACCCCTGGATGCTTTTTTGTTTGTTTGTTTGTTTTCCTTGGTTATATTAAGCACTTATAAAGTTAACTTTTAAAAAGAATTAATTTAAATAAGCCATAAAAAGCCCATCTAAATGCAATTATTCTGCTTTTTGTACTATTCCATAAGCTAGTTGGTTTTAAATGTGTCGCATTACTCTTACAATATGTGTTTTAGCTAATAAAGACACCCAGACTTGTATCATGTAATGCGTAATTCTGTGTTTTGGGGAATTTATTTTTATATTTATTTTCTGGCCAGGGAATTAATTTGATTGAATGAAAAAAACTGTGAGGTTACATGGAAGTATCAGAATTAAGAACAAGTCAAACATACAGAATAAAAGTTCTAATCAAATATTGCTGATGATCATTATTCAATAATTGAAAAAACCCTGCGCTGTGGTTGACACACATTTACAGCATCTCATTAGAGTATTAGAACCCGAAAGGGAAATGAGCTGAAAACAAATGCTAGGTTTGTTTTCAAGTTAACATTCAAAAGCATAGCTAGAGAAAGCAGCCACTTAAATCCTAACCTTCTAAAAGCTTAAATACAACTGAACACTTTTACTATGAGGTCTTTCACTGGGCAGTATTCTCTTAAAGTAAAGAGAAGTTGAAAAAAGGAATGCCACTAGCTCCCATGAAAGGTTTACAGACAGCATTCAAACTGTTCTATTTCAGTAGCAGGCAGTCTAGGAAATTGTTTTTACGATGCTTGTCGAGAGACTTTATTAGATACAGATAAAAATGTTTCACCTATCTACCCAGGTTACCTCAGGTGTTCTCGTTAGGTGTGTTTCTTCAGCCTTTTGCCAACAAGTTGAAGAAACATTAGAAATGTCTCCTACAACTGGTATAAGTGGAGTTAATAAAAGTGATCCTGTGTTGTTTGCAAGTGTAATTGATCCCTGCTTGGGGATTTTGTTCTTTTATTGCATGGAGATGTCCTGTATGGACTTCCAAAGTGATTACTTTATATGAAAATTAAAACAATATCTCCAAATTACAGATTATCCAGTTAGAGGTAATGGCTGAAAAAATAGTTTTCTGAGTCATATGCTAGTGGCCTATCTGCAAGGCTAAAAATTCTCGTTGGAGCTTGCTCACTGATATATAAAAGTGTTTTAGCTTTTCTGGCAGAAATTATGGAACCAGTGCCAGAGGGAATGAAGAGAGGCAGTATTCTGTTTTTGTCATATTTAAGGATCAAATTAGAAGCACAAGATCTAATGGGAGATGAGGATGTCTTTGCTTTAGTGGGAATAATTTTCATATGCCTTTATGAGTAAGGATTGTGATTTTTTTTTTCTTTGAATCAGCAGATGTCATACGAGTCCTGGGTGTGTGTATTAATTTCAGGTTCAAAACAAATTTTTCCCCTTCCCTTAAAAAATGTACTATTTTTAAACACTTGGTTGTCTTCTCTCGTTAGAATTACTTGAGGCATTGTTGCACATTATAAAGAAACAAAAGATGTTCACAGTTCCAAATTCTGTCCTTCCTTTTCATAGCAGCTTGAGATTGGAGGCAGCTAAAATTGCTGTTTTCTGGTAAAGTGAGCAAGTTGCATCACAAAGTAACTCCTGTCTCTTCAACAATAAAGTGTAATCATCAACCTTTAAAAAATAATAAAAATTAAGCACTTAGCAAAATTGAGTCAAAGGAGTTGGAAGCTGCATGTCTAAGGCTGCAGAAGGAGCTTGTATTTGAATAATTTGGAGTTTCCAGTTCCCAAACCTGTAGTGAAGTCTTCAGGAGCTATTAAACTGCAGTCTCTAATTCTTGTCAATACATTATTCATTAATGATAAGCTCCATTACATCTTTGCCCTAATGTGGCACCTCCCAGTCTTCAAATATATGCACCTTATTTTAGAAGACTTACTGGTTTCATTTTCTTTATATTTCCTCTATATAACCTTTTATATATTTCTGTACTTCTGTGATGAGCGTATTAGGCAAATGAAGCATCAGAAGAGAAGTTAAATGAGCTAGGAAAGAAAGGTGAAATTATCCAGAACTTTCAGTATAAAAGGCAAGCTACAGTTTTTCCTACAGATGAGATCTGGCACCAGTTGATGCTGTTATTTTCAAAATTATCTGGGGGAGTGTGTACCAGTCACTTGGCCTTCTTTTGTGTAGTGCTGGGGATGATTCACAGTGCTGCGAGTCATTCTTCATGTTGATTAATCTGTGTGGCTTTAAACAGTAGGCTATTATTAGATGTGGAATAAAAAACCCTTTGAGATGTTTGTATATCAATGTACAACCTCAAACTCTGAACAAAAAGTTGAAGTTTATATACTGCTTTGCCCTTTGCGCCCAGGGTTCTACTATAGATGATTTCCAGGTGCTTAGTGTAAAAAGGAGAAAATTGGTATCTATAATCAGAAGGAATACTGTAATGGTTGTTACTCTATTGCTGCACAAAATTTGTAATTAAAATAGTTTGAGTTTCCTCTAGCTGCCCTTTTCAGTTTCAAAAATTGCTCCTAACAATATTTGAATTTCATCTGCATTTCTAATGCAGGTTGGTGGTAGACTTCTAATATGGGTTAACTTAAATGAGAGATTAAATCAAATTTTACTTCTTGATTTAAACTATTTCTTTTAAAATCTTCTTTCAGTCTGGCTTGATTGATTAATTCCAGGTAGACTTAATAAATTCAAATGATCTTATCAGGAATTACTTTTCTTCCTCTGTGAACACAAGCAGGGCTCAAGCCCAAGAGACCAGACTGGATGTGGTTCTGGAGGTGACTGGGGGAGGAGGCTGCCCATCAGTTTGGCCAGTTCTTTGTTGTGTGACCGGACTCTGCTGGCTCTAAGGGAGATGTCTCCTTTTGTAATATTTGCCAATTCCAATGAGAATCAGATCAACAAAAAAGAACGATTTGCCTAACACCAACATTATAGAGTAATGGAAGGTTCGTAGGCAGAGAGAATGATTTGACGCAATCTCCTTTGTTTCATTGTGTTTTGCATATGACAGGAGGAAGCTTCTCCTTATTCTTTGCTTGATATCTGTTTGAATTTCCTGACTGCCAACCTAGAGAAGTTTTGCACGGAAAGGCAAGATGGAACACTATGCTTGCAGGAGCCAGGAATGTTTCCTCAAGAAGTGGCTGATCGATTGCTGCAGACGATGGCATTTCATGGTAAAAAGAATTATTTGTGGGTCATCACTGAAAATGCTTTACTGGAATGTGTTCTAGTGTATTTTCTAGTAGAATCTGCTGTTGCAGCTGTTAAAACTGTGTTCCTTAATCTCTTTATAGAGAATTTCTGTTATTTTCGCTTTTCCACAGCTTCAGCTGAATGTTGCATTGGCATATAGATAGTTCTAAATAGACAGTCATTAGACTTGGGTTTGTGATTTTAATTTAATGTTCCCTTAAGTGAACATTCTTTAACAGATCTTTCAATCACTTAAAAATATATATATATTTATTCTGCTACTTCTAGCAGAACTTAAATATTTCAAGATCTCTTGCAATTAATTGAATTTTCTTCACTGTGTGTCCTTGTGATTAAACTAGGAAGTAATCTTGTGATTTTCATTAAAATAGTGCACTTTGTTGAAGTGGAATTATTTGCTCGAAAGCAGTGGGTTTCAAGAGTAGTGTAAACATCTGTGAAAACCACATTGTGGTGTTCTTACATTTTATGTATTGGCCTATCATATACTCTGTCAGCACATCTTTGAAGAGAGGGCTGCCCTCTCCTTTGCTTGCTTTTAAGCATGATAAAAAGAAATGTTGTGTCAATAAAAGCTTCTTGTCATGAAAAGAGTGAATGTATAGACTACCCTAGAGAAGAGGCAGGAGAACCATTCCTGGAGATCCTGGAGACTAGAGGTGAGATGTGAAACTAGAAAAATTATGCAGACCAAGCACCCTATCCTATAGGTGCAGATTTGATTGGATCTTATTGTGCAAATTCTGGTGTTCTAGTTTTCTCAAGTTGTTCTAGTGAGATATAAAAGAAGGAATGGTCCTAAAAAAAGGCAAACTCAAAAACTTTTCATCTTCAATGTACATTACTTTCTGGTAAGTAATTATTTAGAGTAGTCCTGAGAAATCAGATTAAGGGAAATGGAATTAACAGAAACTTACTACCAGTGCTAGTAGTGTTGAAGCCAGTTCCAGAAACTGAAACATCACACTGTATCAGAATGCAGGAGGGAAAAAAAACCCTATGTCAGATAAACAGGGTGTGGCTAAGGGGAATTAACAGAAACTTACTACCAGTGCTAGTAGTGTTGAAGCCAGTTCCAGAAACTGAAACATCACAAACACTGTATCAGAGTGCAGGAGGGAAAAAAAACCCTTATGTCAGATAAACAGGGTATGGCTAAGGCAGGCCAGTGAGAGAGCCTAACCTCAGTCCTTAAATGAAAACATGAGCAAAAATTAAGAAGTAATTTAGCAACACTTCAACCAAATTATAATATTTTATTGCATTTAATTTTTCTGCTGGGTACCAGTTGTTTCATTCCATGTTTTTGCTTTCTCTGCAAAAAAAGGAATGCCCTGACTACTTGGTCAGAAATGCCTAAACAGTTTGCTCTTTAGAAAGGTCCGCAAATATTACTATTAATTGGACTTTGTCACCAGTGGCAATTACTAGTAGGTGACTTAAATCCAAACTGTAGTGGCGATTATGTTTTTATTCACATACATTGCATTTTGAGTTTCTTTTTTATGTTCAGTATGCTTGAAGATAGGAGATAAAAACCAGGCGTGTTGACATTTATAACCCTCTAGAGTGAAACCAGAGGGACATGTTCCTCCTACTCCTTTTGTGTGCACGCTTGTGTAACCATACCCTTCTCATATGGCTTTCTATAAAGCAGTAAACCTGTTGATAAGATACAAGTAAGAAATCTTGGTGTTTTCAACATGTTTTGGATAGTCCTGTGTGTGGAATTAATGATTTCAGTTAGGATGTTGCCAGTATGCTGCAAGAAAAGACTACTCATGCAGTCTTCTTGCTACAAAGCAAAATTATAATAATCTCAACAAGATTGTTGTGCTTCCTTCCCATCCTTTCCTAGTTTTCTTCCTTCTCCTCTTTGAATCACTTCTTAGGTTTTTTCCTCACATTCAACTTATTTCTGAGCAACACTCCTACATTCTTCATGAGGGATATATAGAAGAACTTAATTAGCTTAGTTTAGTGTATTGATCCTGCTTATGAATTCAATCAAATACTGAATTATTCAGTTGAGTTCAAGGAAGGTGAGAACTGGTCATTGATTGCTGGTACTATCTTGAGGTTAACATTGCTGTGTCTTTAGCTCATTTCTAACCAGCTCAGTGAGAAACCCCAGAAAATGCAGGCAGTAATCTGAATGTTTTTCAATCCTATCCACATTTTATTTATTGTGTTCCATGTTCTGAACCAAACAGGTAATGTGTGTATACTACATCTTAATTTATCTGTCCTATTCTTAAACCTAGAATTTTCTGAAAGTGAGATTATAATCTTAAAATGGAATCCCAAATATAAAATTTTGGGATCAATAGGATAATGATCCAAGAAAAACTAATTTGCAATTAATTTTCTTTGTTAACACTTCATATCTTTTGGGCTCTCAAAATAAAAGTGATGTTCAGTAACACTGGAGCCAAGCACTAATGCTGTTTTCCAACAGGGCTTCTGAATGATGGAACTGTGGGCATCTTCCGAGGCAACCAGATGCGTTTGAAACGAGCGTGCATCCAGAAAGCAAAAATCTCTGCCGTGGCTTTCCGGAAAGCATTCTGCCATCACAAGCTAGTAGAACTTGATGCTACTGGGGTGAATGCAGATATAACAATCACAGACATTATAAGTGGACTTGGCAGCAATAAATGGATCCAACAAAATCTGCAATGCCTTGTGCTGAACTCACTAACCCTCTCTTTAGAAGACCCGTACGAGAGGTGCTTCAGTCAGTTGTCTGGGCTTCGTGCATTGAGTATTACCAATGTTCTATTCTACAATGAGGACTTGGCAGATGTTGCTTCACTTCCTAGATTAGAAAGTCTGGATATATCGAACACCTCTGTCACTGACATAACAGCACTACTCACCTGCAAAGACCGACTCAAGTCTTTGACCATGCACCACCTGAAATGCTTGAAAATGACCACAACCCAGATTCTGGATGTTATAAGAGAACTAAAATACCTGAATCACCTTGATATTTCGGATGACAAACAGTTCACATCAGACATAGCACTTCGTTTGCTGGAACAGAAAGATATCTTGCCTAACCTTGTGTCTTTGGATATTTCTGGAAGAAAACATGTTACGGATAAAGCTGTAGAAGCATTTATTCAGCAACGGCCCACAATGCAGTTTGTAGGCCTGCTAGCTACTGATGCAGGCTACTCAGAATTCCTAACAGGAGAAGGAAACCTAAAGGTTAAGTGAGGAAATTAATTTTACTGAGAAATTACAATGTGCGGGAAAAACAGGACTAATTGTTTGTAACAAATGTATGTGGGTGTTTCAGAAGGAGGCTGTAGGTTCCTTTCTTTAACTGTTAATTGTAATTACTGACTTTATGTCAAATTCCTGCTTAATTCCAGCACAGAAACTGCTACATTTACATAATACTGTTGTAAGAAGCATCTGTTTTCTGTGCCTTTTCAGTGAGCCTTAGATCCTGATTTAACGTATTGTATCTAAGAGAGATGAATTTTGTCTAGCCTGAAGTAATTTACTGCAATAATATTCTCTAGATTCCAGCACAGTAACTAGCATAAGGCAGCAATACGTAAGAGGTGGAGGTACAATTTGCATAAGCTTTGAGCAGTTCATGATCAACACAGCAGATGCAATAAAACTTAATAACTTGGCTGCTGTTGTTGCTGGCTCCATCACCACTTCTATTTCCTATTACAATATTTCTACCCATCTTGAAAGGTCTTTTGGTGATGAACATGTAAGAAGCAATTACTTAGGATGAAAGACTTCCTCTTCTTGAACAAATCCTAAATTACTTAGCCCCTGAGGATGAGATGATGTTTGCTGAAGTGCATTTATTTATTTTTTAGTGCCAGGCAACAAGACTTCATTCCCTGTTCTGTAGAATATGCGTGCACTCACTGGAGAATGAGTTTATTCTGTCCCTGCTCTGAAGGGGTCAGAATTAAAGAAGAAAAAGAGATGTTTTAGACATGTCAGTGTTATATCATCTTTGACTTTTGTTTTCTGCTGTGCTATGAGGATGATGAAAACTGCAGAGGTAATGAGGAAGAGTTTGCATAATGTGTCCATAGTTCAGTCTGTCTCCTGTGCAAGCTGAGTGTTGCATTTCAGTTTTAAAATTCAGAATGCTCTTGTTATAGGCAAGTGAGGTAACACGGCTACACAATTTTATAATTTATTTTTTCCCTGAAATTTTTGACAATTGTTAATGGCCAAGTCTCAAGTATTTAGTTGTCACAGCTGATAGCAATGTGTATGGATGTTGAAATGCATTGTTGGAGAAAGCAAGTTCCCATTTGATGTGATGTTCTACAGCATCAGGAAATTATATCTCATGTTTGGTATAAAATAATTCAATACAATTCTTGCTATTTAGAATACACGCTTCATACAAGTGACTATGCTATGAAAAGGCAGGAAGAAGAAGGTTCTAATAATGTAAAAATAATGAAAGACTTGTAGAAGTGTTAGCAGGTAGAAAAAAGCAGTTTGCTTTTTTTTTAAGGCATAGTTGTCAAGAAGAGACTGTAGGCAGTGACTGGGGTTTTTTGTCTCCTTTTTTTTTTTTTTTTTGTGACCTAAAATTCATTAGTGACTGTACTGAAGTATTCGGCTGCTTAGTGTAGATGCTGCTTAGTCTAGATACTGCTAAAGAATGAACAGGGGACAGCACTCCTGGAGACAGCAGAAGTAAAAGGTTACTGTCTTTACAGCAGTCCTGTGAAATCTGATTATAGAAAATTCTTGAAAAGATTGAACACTAGGCAGACATTATGGCTGAGAACATGAAGTCAAGTGTAAATTCTTCATATACTGTGTAACTGGCTGCAAAACATGTCAGTAAATATGATTGCCCTGCTCTAATCGATAGAGAATATAAAACAAAATCCAGGATGGTATCAGTTCTCCCAAGGCTGTAATATATTCCTGATCTAGCAAGTTTCAAAAAATTTGGCTCTATATGATACAGGATGCACAGAACGTGACACTTCATCTATGAACATTTGCTTTCCTTTACGTGACATATTAAGTAGGACAAGTTCTGCACGCTTCCCTAAGAATTTTAAAGAACAGTGGTTGCAGCAATGATTCATTAAATAGTAGGACTGAGGAGCAAACTGTCTACAGTTATATAACTTAGAGTTATAAAGTAGACAAAATGTAGTTAAATGGAAAATACAGCGGATTGGGAAGTGGAAAAACTTGCAGATGGTTGCTGATTTAATATTCTGAACTTAAGCTCACGTTAAGTCAGTAGCTCATAGCTTCTAATGCAGTCTTTGCCTAAGTTAGCTCATTGTTTAGTTTTCACATATATTTAAAGTCTCGTTTTAAGAATTGCTTCTTTTGCAGAGAGCATAAGTTAGTTCTTTAACATGGTGCTGGAAAGCTATTGCTACAGATAGAGCTTATAGGAAATTTGATGTAGACAAAGAATGGAGTTTTTTTTTTTTTAATTGCCAAAGCTAGAACCCAGAGCCAAAAAATTGCAGCCAAAATATTGTTTTAATCAGTTTATCAGTTGCATTTGACAGAACATTTGGTTACAAATAGTGTTTCTAGGCATTTGGTGCATCATAAGCAGCTTTTGTTGGTTATGAAGTGCTACTTTTACTTAGTGGTTTCTCACAGGTCTCTTTAAAGCCTAATTTTGGCTTATAATGTGGATCTTCTTTATGAAGAATGTTTGAATGAAGTGTAGTTCTGGGTTAATATGGCCAGATAAAGTAATTGTTTGCTTACTGAAGGATTTGTCTGAAAATATCATCACCTTTGAAACTGCAGCTTTGCACTTTTTAAGAACAAAATTTTAAAGTAAAATGATGACATCTTAAACTAAAGATTATTTCTCTGTTCACAGGTGTCGGGAGAAGCAAATGAAACTCAGATTTCTGAAGCACTGAAGCGTTACAGTGAACGGGCCTTCTTTGTGAGAGAAGCACTATTTCATTTATTCAGCCTGACGCATGTGATGGAGAAAACAAAGCCTGAAATTTTAAAGGTAAAATAATATAATTTTGATGATCATGCATTGTTCCTTAAACTAAGCCCATCCCAAAACCTTGGTATAAACTATTTCATAAGCTTTTACATTTTTAGTTGTGATTTTTAAGATTAAAATTGTAATGTTGAATAAAAGCTAACAAGTATTTAAACAATAATGATGTGCAAGATGCCCTGTACTGTTTTATGTTAGGTAAAAAAACAAGCCACTGCGTCATTACCGTTACTCTGCAGAAACTCTGTCCTACCTCATTCATCTCTGAAGGGGTTTGGTGATTTTTATCCCAGTGTGTAGAGCAAACCTTGGATCTTTCTAAGAATTTCTTGCATTCCATGCAGCATCTCCTTTGAGGGGATGCTGCAACCAGTGCAAAAGGACTTGGAGGAATTAAAGTTGTCAGCTTTGAATCACTGAGCAGAAGGAAATGTTCTTCCTGAGAATTAAAATCACACCAGATGGATTTTTCACTTAAGTAAAAGGGAGGCAGAAATTGGGTGCTGTGAGTCATTGTTGCGGCCTCAAGCAACAGTGGATTGCTCTTGGGGTAAGTGCGCAAATGTGTAAGTAACTAACATGGGCAAAACTCTTACATTTCAGCTTGTGGTTATTGGAATGAGAAATCACCCCCAGAACTTGCCTGTGCAGTTAGCAGCAAGTGCGTGTGTCTTTAACCTAACCAAGCAAGACTTAGCAGCAGGCATGCCTGTGCGACTTCTGGCAGATGTCACTCACTTGCTCCTGAAGGCCATGGAACACTTCCCAAATCATCAACAGGTAAAAGATGAAATTTCTTGATTTTCTGTAGGATTCCCTGTCTTGTGGATCTTACAAAAAGTTTTTCCACATCTCATGACCTCATGGAAGAATGTTTAATGATTCATAGTAAGGAAGTATTCTGAAATATGTATGTCTCTGATGAAGTAATTCTTTTTCATTTCTCATAGCTTCAAAAGAATTGCCTTCTTTCACTGTGCAGTGACAGAATCCTTCAGGATGTTCCATTTAACAGGCAAGTTTTATGTCAGTTAAAATGAATTGTAGCATTGCAGAATATTTTTCTTTGTCTGTTCCTTCAGAAGGTTTGGTTGTAGTCTCAGTTTTACTGAGTTTAAATCATTCCAGTTGCTGAATTTGTCTGGCCTAAATTGTTTTGGGCCTGTAATTCGCAACTGAATAGAGATCTGAAAAAAAATCCTTTGATATACAGGTATTTTTTACTTTACCTGGATGGGTCTATCACTAATTGCATGCAATAGAAGTCAGGATTTCTCTGGGGTGCTATGGGATTGCTTTTTTCAGGTTTTTCTGCTTAAATGCTTTGCCCAAATACTTTGAAGTGTGTTGGTCTGATGTTTCACAAGATGGTGCTGATTTTTCTTTCTTCTTTGGAAGCAATTTCTGTGCACTTTGATATATAATTAGAAATAAGAGACCCTCAGCAAACAACTCAAAGCTGAGTGAGGCTCATGCAATACGTATAATTTCACTGTGTGTTTCTACTTTTTTGTGCCTTGATACTTCTTCCAGTTTATTTTGTCTTGCGTGCATTTTTATCTGATGTGTTGTCTGTGTACATCTTTCGTTTACTAAGACTTGCAAGACTTCTGAAAACTAAATTTATTTTTAACTTCCAGATTTGAAGCAGCCAAACTTGTTATGCAGTGGCTGTGTAATCATGAAGATCAAAACATGCAAAGGATGGCTGTAGCCATAATTTCCATTCTTGCTGCAAAGGTACAAGATTAAAGCTTTGAGGTGACAGGATAATATTTTTAAAGTATGAAAAATTGTTGATATGGTTTTGTTTGTTTACAGCTTTCAACAGAGCAAACAGCTCAACTTGGCGCAGAGCTCTTTATTGTTAGGGTAAGTCAGATACTTTCCTGACAGTTAAAAATACCATCCTCTCCAGCTATTTATGCTAACAGTATTCCTAAACATAAGTAGATAGAATTCTAAGAACACACAAACCTGTATTAATTTGAAAGCTCTTTAGAAGAGAAAAGCCTAAAGAATTTGTTAGAGATAATATCAGAGCCAGTGGTAAGGTAATGAGACATATTGGCATAGATGAAAAGAAGCTAGAGTGGAAAAATTTGACACAATTAATACGAAGTAAAATATAGACAAAAGATGCTCAAAAAGAGAATATTTGAAGTAAATGGCTAGTGCTGTCAGTGTTCATGTGGGGTCCAGAGTTCTGTGGATGGCTTTGTGCCCTCTGTAGTAGTACTACACGTGTAATTACAGCGAAGACAAAAGAATTCCTCTAGCAGCCAGCCATGTTCAAAGGGGAGGTAAAAAGTGTAATAGCTGTTTTATTTTGTATAGTTTGACCCTAAAGATATAGATCTTTACTCTGTGTATAGATGATAGCAATGCATTACCCCAGTCTGTGCAGAAAGAAGCAGAGGAGCTAGTACGTTTTTTGATCCGCAATTGTAACTGGGATTTTTGGATTGCTTTTTTTCCAGCAACTTCTACAGATAGTTAAACAGAAAACAAATCAGAATCTTGTAGATACTACCCTCAAGTTCACATTGAGTGCACTTTGGAACCTCACTGATGAATCTCCAACAACATGTCGGCACTTCATTGAGAATCAAGGGCTAGAACTTTTCATGAGAGTCTTAGAGGTGAGGAGTACAGTTTTTGTGGTGGATTATCAACATAGGTTTATAATTAACATTGTTTCAATAATAAGTAAAAATGGTTATTGTCATGGTTTAAACCCAGCTACCTGTGAATATCAGGCAGCCGCTCATTTACCCTCCCCCCTCCTGAGGAATTCAGGGAGAGAATTAAATGGGTGAAGGGAGAAGAGACTTATGGGTTGAGATAAAAACAATTTAATAACTGAGCTACAATAAAATTGAAAATAATAATAGTAATAATATACAAATGGGTGGTACACAGTGCAACTGCTCACCACCTGATGACCAAGGCCCAGCGTGTTCCCAGCTAAAGATCCTGGAGCAGCGAGAGTCCTGAAACTGCAATCCCAGAAAAGAAAGAAAAGCACGTGCCTGAGAGTCCGAGTGTGAAAGAGAGAGAAAGTATGAGAGAGTGCTTCTGGATAGATCCTCACCTATATACTGGGCATGATGTGCATGATATGGAATAGACTATTGGCCAATTTGGGTTTCAATCCTATACCTAAGATCAAATCCTGGGCTAGTAACTGGGCCTGTGCTCCCTCCCAGCTTCTCCTGCACCTTTACCTACTGGCAAAGCATGAGCAGCTGAAAAGTCCTTGACTGTCTTGGCAA